ATTCCTAGAAGTGGGATTACTGGGTCGGTTAAATGGCAGTTCCATTTTTAATTTTTTGAGGAAACTCCATACTGTTTTCCACAGTGGCTGCACCAGTCTGCATTCCCACCAGCAGTGCATGAGGGTTCCTTTTTCTCCGCATCCTCACCAGCACTTGTCGTTTGTTGATTTGTTGATGATAGCCAATCCGACAGGTGTGAGATGGTTCCACATTGCCGTTTTAATTTGCATCTCTAGTTTGATTAGTGACTTTGAGCATGTTTTCATATGACTCTTGGCTTTGTGATGCCCTCTTTCGAAAAGTGTCTATTTAAGTCCTTTGCCCATTTATGATTGGATTGTTTATCTTCCTTTTGTTAAGTTGTATGACCTCCCTATAAATTTTGGAGATTAAATCCTTATCAGATGTAACATTGGCAAATATGTTCTCCCATACAGTGGGCTCTCTTATTGTTTTGTTCAGGGTTGCATGTGTTACCTTAAAAAAATTCTTTATACTCTTTTGTTTATAGTGCACATGGTCATACTCTGCCTTCTGCCAACTTCCATGCCTACTTCTGCTTCCCACAGAGGACTTGCTGTGGGTGATGTCACCCATAAAGAAGGTCACAGGAACCTGTCTGAGACAGCTCCCACCACACTTTGCCACTGCATCTTGAAAATACATTTGCTTGCCCACCTTCACAAAGGTGACTCATATGACTCTGCAGTGTTACACAAACAGGAGGAATCCTCTTCCTGTAAATCCAGCTCTATGGGAAATGCTTGTCTATTTTTCATCAAAACTGTATACCCACACAGTGTAACTTTCCCCTAAAACACATGTTGTTCCCTAAGCAGCAGTACCTCTTGTCATGTTCCACTCATATTTCCTCCTCCTCCCTCTCTCTCTCCTGAGTTAGTGGTTTCCCACCTTAAAATAGGTAGGTTTCTATGGAAATTCCAAATCATTGCTCTCATTCATATTCTCTTAACAGTCCTAACAACTATAGTTCTGTAAAGCTTCTAGAAGTATGATTTTATTTCTGAGGGTAATTCCTCCTAGCCTCCTTATTGAGATCACCGAGGGACTCTCAACAAGCTTTTTGTCTCCAACTTCCACACGGAGTTCTTTCCAGATATACCACATGCATTTAGTCACAGGCACCCCCTCCAGTACCCACATGGTACTGAGCTCCCCTTAGAGCCAGGCACCATGCTAGGAGGCCCTGGAATACAGAACAAGTCAGCCAGGCTCTCTGCTCTGGGGGAATTTTACTCCCAGGTGTTTTTTGTTTGTTGTTGTGTTTTTTTTTATTTCAAAGAGGAAGGGAGAGGGAAAGGGAGAGCGAGATAGAAACATCAATGATGAGAGAGGATTACTGATGGACTGCCTCCTGCATGCCCCCCACCGGGGATCGAGCCCACAATCTCGGCATGTGCCCTTGACTGGAATTGAACCCAGGACCTTTCAGTCCACAGGTCGACACTCTATCCACTGAGCCAAACCAACTAGGGCTACTCCCAGGTTCTAATATTGTGATGTCTGCAATGCTTGAGAGCTCAAGGCAGGAACTTCCAAACTGTTTCCCCAACAGCAGTGTTGTGTGAGCCATTAATAAACAGTCCCCACCAAAAAGGATTCTGGTTAAGAAAATTTGGGAAACAGAATTACACGTGCTAACACGTATTAGGAATTTTGAGGAGGTTTTTGTAAGTGTACTTGACCTGCAAACCATCTTTCTCAGGAAGTCCTGTTTGAGATATTCCTCTGATGCCCTTGGAGAAACGCTGGCTCAGGAGTAGCTTTAGCCTGCTCAGTCCTTCCAAGTGCAAGGACCACATAGAAGTCATTCAAGCATACCTCCTGGTTAGGTGGGAAATGGATATCTACGTGATTTCCCTTCACTCTACCTTTTGAATGATAAGTAAGCTGAGTCTGCACCCAACACTCAGGTATTTACTTTTCCCCAGGTGTGTGGCGTATGTAATTTACCATCTCAGTCTATATTCCTAGCCCAGACCTCTCCCCTTCGCTACACGCCACATATATCCTCCTGTCCTCTGGACAACCACCTAGTGGAGATCTTTAACAAAAGGTCCAGCAAGCACTTCAAATTTGTCCCACTCAGAAGTGATTACTGCCTTTGTAAAATGCATTTCCCCATCTGCATCGCCTAATGGCCTCCTTACTACCATCCAACCAGAAACCTGGAAGGTGTTCCAAACACCATCCACCCAGCCAAGTTGTCATTAAGTCCTCTTGATTCCTTCTACCTTCCAAAAGGCTCTTGGATTTACTCCCTATATTGCATCCTCAGCTGCATTATCTAATTTGGGGTCCTCACTACAATGGGTCTCTAATGGCTTCCATCTTAGGCTAGGTTTCCTGGGGGAAAGATCTGGTTTTCTGCAACGTGCATGCAGGAAGGCTATCGGAAAGAGCTATGGGGAATCGCCCCTGTGGGGGCTGGAGGTGGCAGATGTAAGACCAAGCAGAGGGAGAAATTGAATGTCAATGTGGTTACAAGAGTAGCCTCAATCAGTCCTGCAGGGTGCTCTGGAACTGGGTGAACCTTCACAGTTGTCCCAACTTGATACAAGGGGCTGAGGTTGTATGACCTTAAACCAACACATTTCCACTCTTTTCAACCTCTACCATCCACACCAACCCTTCTTCCTCGACCCCACCCTAAGGTGGCATAACCTTTGGCCAAGGGCAATTCCAAGAATGGACCTCAGCTAAGAGCCGCCAGCCACCAACTCTCCCAGACGGTGGAAGATTGAGTGCCTTAGCTCTGAGGGGGTTGAGGCGGCATACCACAGCATCCCTATCCTTAATCTTGCTGCTTTTCAACCCCCTGTGACACTACTGGAGGAGTTTTACTAAACCCAAATTTAATCACACCACACCCTTACTCATACCTTCCAATCGCTCCTCCTTACCTACAAGATAATTCAGTTCTGATCTCTGTCTCCCTGTGAAGCCTTGTCTTCCACAGCTGTCCTCCTGCGTGCACTCTTGCCCCACAAATACCAGTCTCCTAATACTTATCAGTCCTTCTCGGATGCTGCTGTCCCCGCTGAGTATGAGTGTGTCTCACTTCTCTCGCTAGCAAACTCCTATTCATGCTTTAGGGCCCAGTACACGCACCCCCTCCTCTGTGATGCCTTCCTTAATATCCTCAAGCAGAGGTAATCTCCTGTATACTCTTTTTCTGCTCTTGCAGTTATTTGCTTATGTGACTGACCTCCTTAAGAGCAAAGCCTGTGTTACCTTCACTTTTGAATGTGAGTGAATCAGCCATGTGCATCAGTATTGTATAAAGCTGTGTCTGCATGGGCTGACTCAGACTAACTAGAACTGTTGGTCTAGGCAGCTGTTTTTGCAGGGACTTAACCTAGTTGTCCAAGGAGGGCTGTAGGCTGTAGGGGAGGGACTCTGTTTGGGGAAATTCAGCTGGCTTGGTATATATAGCTCTATGCAGTTAATAAATACTTCCCATTGTGTTGATGCCATTCTCTCATGTTGGGAAAGGGATGTAGCCAGTGACCTACGGCATATGTCATGAAAGGTACCATGTGGCCTGACTTGCCCCCAAATCTATCTTTTGTGAATGAGCTCTCCCCTCATATTCAGTCTGAAATTCTTACCCTGTGTTTTCTGACTAGGTCAGTGGTTCCTTCAGGGGGTGAATGCACTCAAAGGCATGGGCAGGCTGATGCATCTGTAGAAGAGAATTCCTGTGTCTCTTTATTTTTATTTTACCTTTTTCAAATTTCCTATATTTCATATATGCCTTATAATGCACATAACATAGTAGTACACATGTATATATACATGCATATAATTTATAAACAAATAGTATTAGGGAGTCTACACTCAAATCATTGTTTTACTAAGTAGCATATGGTTAAAAAAAAAAAACTTGGATACCCCTAGATTGGACTCCAAAGACTGGAAGCTTCTTCAGCCTTCACCCAGTAGCTTTCCAGCTGATCTGATTGCTGAGCTAATCTGTGCTAATGTGCACTTAAGGTCTTAGGGCAGCGGTTCTCAACCTGTGGGTCGCGACCCCTTTGGCAGTCGAACGACCCTTTCACAGGGGTCGCCTAAGACCATCCTGCATATCAGATATTTACGTTATGATCCATAACAGTAGCAACATTGCAGTATGAAGTAGCAACGAAAATAATTTTATGGTTGGGTCACAACATGAGGAACTGTATTTAAAGGGCCAGAAGGTTGAGAACCGCTGTCTTAGGGGAACTCTGAAATCTGGGATCTGGAGCAGTTAGGAAGGAAAGGTAGGGACAGGCAGAGGAGCAGGGCTACCTGGGGAGAGCACAGAGGCTGCATCTAGTCAGAGATGGTGAGCCATCTCGGAAGGAATTGAGAACCTAGACTACAAAGAGCCAGGAGGTGGAGCGGGAGACGGCAATAGGCCAGGCAGCCAGCTGCAGGGCTGAGGGGATATGAAAGGGCAACAGTCCCAACCTCCACGAGGAAGATGCTCACCTGGCTCTCAGTGCAGCTGGAGCTCACATCAGAGCACAGCAAGCCAGACACCACATTGCCTTTATAGTCAAAGCGTGGGTATACATATTTTTGGAGCACCCTCTATACTATTTCCTATATCCTTACCACAACCCAGCCAGCTCTAGGTATTCTTATATCCATTTTGCAGATGGTGATAAACAATTCAAACAATAAGTTTGTTTAGCCCAAACCCTAAATTCTACAGATGAGGACTGCGAGGCCCAGGTAGGGTTAACTGATTTGCCACAGATAAAATGCAGATCCTGTCAAAGCCTCAAAGCCAGGACTGCCAGAACTCCACCTCCTCCTAATTCTCCATCGTTTCGTTACACTTCCCTGCCAGCCCACCATGGTGCTAAACTCAGAGGTCAGCAGGCAGAAAGCAGGCGCGTGGAATGGCTAACACATCTGCTTGGCTGCGCCCGTCCACTCCGGCGCTTCCCAGGCAGCTTGTCCTAACGGCCTCTGTGTTTCTTTGCAGCGTGCAAAAGAAAAGAGCAAGAGCACGGGAAGGATAGAGGCAACACCCCCAAAAAGCCCCGGCTGGTCTTCACAGACGTCCAGCGTCGAACTCTACACGCAATATTCAAGGAAAACAAGCGTCCATCCAAAGAATTGCAGATCACCATTTCCCAGCAGCTGGGGTTGGAGCTGAGCACCGTCAGCAACTTCTTCATGAACGCGCGGAGGAGGAGCCTGGACAAATGGCAGGACGAGGGCAGCTCCAATTCAGGCAACTCATCTTCATCAAGCACTTGTACCAAAGCATGAAGGAATAACCACAAACTAAAACCTCGGTGGAAAAGCTTTAAATAAAAGAAATTTTTAAAAGACAAGGACCTCAACATAGCAGGTTTATACTTAGAAATATTTGAAGAAGGAAAAAAAGAAGTGTTATTTATAGTCCAAAGAAACCAAAGACTTAGCTCACCTGCATTCTGACTTTGTTCGGAGACACACACTTCAGCGGGGCGACGACTTGGCAAGAAAAGTTATGAGCAGGAAAACACCACTGGGTCTCACACCTTCGATCCACGATCCTTCTCACTGTGCTTGGCTGTTTCGTGGTTTGGAGCAGTGATTTTGAGCCATTGAGTGGACATCTTTTAAGATCAGACTTTCTCACCTGTCCCACCGCGCCACAAAGGTGTATGATGTCTCAGTACTGCGTGTGGGTGCGTGCACTACACACACACACACCACCACCACCACCACCACCACCACTACCAGTGGTCAGGGACATAGGCAGGGCGGGCCTTCAGGAAGGGTTGTGCTGTAGGAGAGCAACCATCAGTGTGGGGTTGTCTGAGTTCATTGGGTTAGGATGTGATGTTGCTCGTCTAGCCTATTGTCTGAACCTGCCAGGCCCACAACCTAAATGCAGATTCAAACCCAGCAAGGAAAATTTGAATGGCACCTAAACTCATGCATTCTCTTTGTTTGTTAAGGACTGTTCAGATATTTTTTAAGAAATGAAATAAAAGTCCATCCACTTAAAAAAAAAATCACCTAGGTACCAAAGAACACGCTTAATATTATAGTGCAGGTATTTTATTGCAATGATTTTAATAACCAAAGCTATTTTTACACAAGATACTATGTAAAGTTATACATATGAACTGATCTAGCTGTAATACACATGCCACGTAGAACCATGACTATTATTTATGACTCTTAAAGCATTTGAAATACTTGTTTTCAGAACTGGCAAGAAAGAATGTCGCTCCAGGGAAGCAATTGCTACCATAATAGAGAGTTTGATGCAGGATGCACGTACGCCCAGGTGGCACACTCCCTTTCGGGACCCATAAATGTCACTTAGGTAGACATATGACATGATTCCAGAATCTGTTTATAGCTGGGAAAACCTGGGGATTCTGCCAAAGTAGGATCCCATTTATAAACTAGAAAACTAAGTTCACACAGGGCAGGTAACTAAATTAGAAAATTTGTTTAAAGTAATGCTTTTCGGTAAAAAGACCATGGAATTAAAGGACTCCATACTTAGATTAATTTGACAAATTTGCTTCATGCCTTTGACACCAAATACCTTTTAAAAATATTTTATAAAAACTCAAAGAGCGCTAACCAATTTTATTATTAAAATGAACTATCTAATATTTGAATAATTCTAACAATACAATCAAACTTATTTTATTGCTAATCTCAAACATTTTTTGGCTTGGAAATGAATAAAAATAGCAGGTCCAACCAAGAAACGGTGGGATGGAGAAAAAGCAGAGTCTGCAGCTATTTACTTCCTCCAGCATAGCCTCCGGAGTGCACCACATTCTTTCCTGCTACTGCATTAAGCTGGAAATTTTATAACATAGATTCCACTCTCTAACAGGGACATAGAAAAACTAGACCTGAACGTCCAAATATAAACATTTAAATTCCTATTTTCCCAAATCACTTAACCAGGCCTATAGAAATCAAGGCAAAAAGGAAAAAACAAACAACCACAAAAAAAGCAAAAGATAATACAGTTGTACTAGTAATACCCAAGTGAATCATTTGATTTCCCCCACTCCCCAAATTCTCTCTGAATTCCATTGAATTATCACTCATATAAGTGGATGTCTTTTGTACTATTGGGTAAAGAACTACATAGTCTTGGTCAATTAGCACATCTAACTAGGAATATAAAATTAAATGTTATCTCAACAATAAGGTGTTTATTGAGAGTCATTAAAATGCTTTAAAAAATTAAACCATCTTGTCTAGGGCTAGAAGAGGCAGGCACCTGGAGAGAGGAGGCCATACCAGCCAGCCACCTGTCTCCTTCGTGTCTGCTGGAGGAGAAAAGGAAGCCGGCACATACTCCCCCTTTCACGAAAGGACGTATTTGCCTTGACACATGTTGTCCATTTTCTTTCTCTCGCCCCAAATTCCAGCTTAAAAATTTCCCTTCTAAACATGGCACAATTACAATACAGCTATTAAACGATACCATTCAAATGGCCACCCTCCAAGATTTGCTAAAAATTTAATCTTGTCAATGACATAAACTAAAAGGAAAAAACTGATTAACGTTTTCTCTTTCCAGGAATAGAGGGGACAATGGTTACAGCTACATAATATACTTATAATTTAGGAGGGAGGAAAACCTTATTTATTTAAAACCTGAGAAGTTTAAAATCAGGGAAATTCAAGCTGTGTCTACACCCAATCTTACCAAAGTCAATGCCCCAGGAAAAACAAAAGTAGAATTCAGGTGACCACTTTTTTTTGCTTTGATTTTGCTACATGACCCTGCCCAGTTAATCTAACTGCATTTTAAGTGTTCAACCAATTCTTTTGGTACTGTGTAGACACAATCTCAAAGAATATTACTGCATTTTTAATATTCTCACCGTGCTTTTTTTTGAAAAATAACCAGTGATTCTATTTGCTAACACCAAAGATAATTTTCATACCAGCATTGAATGTGCACCCATTATGCAATTTCAGGGCCTAGAGTTATATTTTCTCACAAACAGATACACAAATCCAAGCCTGAAAAGCAATGTTTTACTTGACTGTTTAAGCATCCTCACAACCTCTGCTTCTGAGGAATCACAACGGACAAACTCAGCTTCTCACAAGCAATACACGTATCCCATCACATGACTGCTTCTGTTCTGCTCCTGACTTGCCCCAGAGAGAGGAATGCTTCCGTTCCTGCCTCACTAATTTACGGCTCAGGTTCTAAACCCAACATAACCAAGGTCACATGCTTTTGTTCACCCACCATTTCCTGGCCCCCGAACAAAATTCACCTAAAAACATACCTCACTCTTTCATTTGTATGTGTATTTATTCCAAAACTGCACTTCAAATAACACATTTTGGGTTTTGTTTTGTGTGTTTTTTTTCCCACAGAATGGAAATTAGACTGGTTTTGGCCATAAACCATTTATGTCCTCTCATGACCAAATGCTTCCCTGAAAGGGAGCCAAGAGAAAGAGTGGGAGGTCTGGACACCCCAAAAGCCCAGACTTCGGTAAATGTTCAGGTAAAAGAATTCTGGGTGCCAAGAACTGAGTGTTCCGGTCCCTGGATGCAGCTGGAATAGGCCCCAAAAACCAAAGAAAATGTGTGGGGAAGTTCTAACTGAACATGTCACTCACTCTGCCTCCTTCCCCCCAAAAAGTATAATTAATTTTCCAGGAACAAAAGTAAAAGCACTATGCTATGTTTGGACTTATTCTCCACTCCCTCCATCCCCGCCCCCACCGCGCCCCTCCTTCCCCCCCATTGCTACCCCAGGTGAATGACCCATCTTTGCAGGTTAAATCCAAACTTTGCTATACCAAAGAGTCCTAGGACATTTTCACATGAGCTATAAAGGCATTTTCCCTCAAAAAGATCCTCCCTTCTTTGTACATAAAGGATGAAAACTATGCATTTAGCAAACAAAGAGAAAGCACTTCTCCCTTTCCTATCTCGCTGTTTAGGGTGCATTCAAACACCAGAGGCCGTTTTGAGATGCGACTGGCCTTCTGGATTATTCTTGTGGTGTGGTTAGCTTTTACAGTGCATTTGGTAACTATTTCCTAAATAGGAAGGACAAAGAAGCAGAAGGTAAGAAATAGCTACTTCCACGTGTAAAAAAAAAAGAAAAAAAAAAGAAAGAAAAGAAAAAAAGAAAAAAAAAGTGTAAAGATCTACTATTTATAGTGTGAACCAAAGACGCTACCTCACTCGATTTCCATTGGTGATTTTAATCACATTGATATGATACCAAAGAATACCAAAGATATTTTCATGCACGGCCTCCGTCTGCAGAGGGAACTCCACCCCGACCCTTCTCCCACCTCCTCGCCCCTCCTCACTCTTCACTCAGTGTGTAAACTTGTCTTCATTCTTAATAATAATGATACCACAACAATGACAACATTAGGAAATACTACTCTTATGACTGCTAGTTCTTCTTGTAAATCTCTAGGCAAACATGTTGCAAACTTTGTAAACTCCTAGGACGAGTGCCTTGCTTGAACCAAAGTGTTAAACCGCTGTTGACCTCTCTCACCTTATACTCTTTGAATACCTCAGCCTCTTAGAAAGGCCACTAATGGAAAGAAAAGGAAAAAAAAAGGAATAATTATTCACCGTGGTGCTTTTTCCGTGCAACCATGCAATGAAACTTTCTTTGATACCAAAGGATGACTTTTCCCCCCAATTTCTTGCTGAGAAACCAAAGCTCCTCCTCCTCATTCCCTCTTGAGGTCCCCCCACCTCACCGAGTCCCTTCACCAGGCAGGCCGTGCATCACTTTTACCAATTCCTCCAAATACCTCATAGTAATAACGTTTTAGGGTTACGTTGTCTAGAGAGTCTATGTGATAAGGCAGAACTTACTAGTTTGATAATTGTTAAGGTTACTTTGAAAAAAAAAACCACAACTTTATAATTCTTATTTATTTTGTAGTTTGTATGTTTGGGATGTCCGCCCCCTCCTTGCTTCGGTTTGGGGTTGATTTTCTTGGCAGAACTGCTCTGTTGCTCAAGGAAGACTTAATTTCTGGCTATGTTCCCCGCGTGGGTTAAGGGTTGTGTAAAAACTGCAAGAATGGAATAAGAAATGCTTTTCATTTTGATGGTTACTTATAACGTTTTGTGTTTCGTAGTAAGTTTGTTTCCACAGGGTAAAAAGAACATATATATATAAATATATATATAATCTCTTTTTTGTGAAACTGGTTTCTATTTTCTCTATAATGTGCTGTGATTTTTTTAATTTAAGTACATTTTATATGAGCTTATTTAATCACTGCTTTAATTTATGACTGTGTAGTTTTTAAAATGTATATAGTAGAATCCAAACGGCCAAAGCTTTTATGTTGCAATCTTTTTGTTCTTGATGCTAAGATGAGCTGAAGGCGAGAGCTCCTCTTCACTGCAGGGTGTAGCTTTAGCTTTTCTTAGCAGGCACCTCAGTGTGTGTTGTGAACACTGCCAGGCCCCCCCCTCAGAAAACGTGTACATGCCAAAGGGAGAGTTTCAAGGTCGTCCTTTTTGTCACTTAGAAAGAAGAAAGGCATTATTTGTGTTCTTCCTTTAACTTATTAAATTTTTTTAAAAGAAAAGATGGCCTTGCAGGTTAGACCTGAAATTCCAAAGACTTTAAGACTTGTTTAATGTTCCAAAGCACTGGCATTTGGGAGATACTTTTTTGCTTTTTGCTTTTTTTTTTTTTTGCCATTCGCACAGGTCTGAGAAGTAGAGTGTAAAAACTCAAAGAGACAAGCTAACTTGAATTTGGAAACCCTCTTCCGTTTCACCAAGTTTCTGAATTGCTTCAAGGCAGGGGCAGGGCCTGAGCACAGTTCCTTTGGCAGAGCGGAGAGGAGTCACAGTGGCTTCACACCCTTACAGAGAAAGCCCAGGCCGAGGGCGGACCTGGCCCCTGCCCATCTGCCCTGACTCATGAAAGAAGCAAAACATGATTGCTCGGCCCCAATTACTAGCCCGGTTTAAGGAAAACGTTTCACAGTTACATATCCCAACCCCACATCTGTTTCTCAGAATCTGCTGCTCACAATTCCTAACCAATTCTCCTCAAATGTCGGAGAACCCTGGCGAATGGACCCCAGGCCTACTTGAGTTTGTCTCTTTTCACTCTTCGTCTTGCCACTAGTTTTCGTTTCCACACACTAGAGGTGGCCCCGGCCTCGGGCCCCCTTCACCCGGGCTGTTCAGATACTTGGCCCCAGTTTGATGTAGATCAGCACATGCAGACTTCTCAGCCGATTCGCAGCATCCTCAGCAGACCCAGTGCCATTTTGCTGAAGTAAGAGTTGCTTCAGCTACATGGCACACATCCATCGATGTAAATACTTTTCCTCTCAATACAAGAAATTTACATTCTTTTCTTTTGCAGGGGTGTTTGGGGTGGGGAAGGAAAGGGAGGGCTTAGATTTTGGGTCCAATGTTACACTTTCTTAGGAGCATTTTTGTACTCGTTACGTATTTTAATAGGGCAATACGACTGCTCTGAGTCGCAGGAGCATTCAGTGCTCTGTTGGTCAGCACTGACCGATCATGTGTGTTTCATGCAAAGGCCGTGCAGTGCGTTACAGAAAGCCAGGAGCGCGGTGGTGGGAGAGGACTGGGACCCTCAGCGGTGAAACGCTGACCGGAGTGGTATGCACAAGGTCATGTTTCCTGTTTCTGTGTTAGTCTCGATTTTTTGGTGGATGTTCTGCATTTATTACATAATCATTGTGGGCTCATTTTAGATATGCCTTTGGAACCACGTGATGAGTATTTTTTAACAAAATAAACTTTAAAACATTGTCTTCCACTTGCTTCGGTGATCGTCTCCATATCTCCCCGTGTTTTCTCATCCCTTCTGAAGTCAGACCGCCTGTCACTCCCTGAGGTCGCCCCTTAACCCTCTTCTCTTTTCAGTATACCTTTGACTTTAGCTATGGTCTGAGTGTGACTCATTTTCCCTGTTCAAGTTAGCTTGATGGTTTATTATGTAAGGAGGGTGCCTAAGACAATCATCAGGTAAAAAAATAAATAAAATAAAATAAAAATAAATGAAAAAAAAAAAGGTCAATAGAGTAGAAAATCTTCCAAGAGCAGAGGGAGTTCTTCCTTAGCAACGGGGAGGGAGGGAGGGAGAAAAAGTAAACAAATAATTAAATTAATTTAACAACCTAACCACGAGGGGCTTAGATTTTTTATAAAAAAACAAATGTTGCTGTCATTTTCTTTGTCAATTAGAAAGCAGTGGTAGTTTCTACGTTGCATCTACATTTCAGGTGAAATGATTATTGTACCCAGTTATGGTTGTTTGCTAATATTTTGTCTCTCTCTTTCTCTCTGTCCAATGCTTCTTCTGTATTTTTGTGTGTAGCAACAAAGAGTGTAATGCATTAGGCGTTATTCTGGTTTGTTTATGAGTATTTCCTGTACTGCATTAAGGTTCCTTTCTTTTTTTTTTTTAAGCTTCGCTACTGTTCTCACTTTATGCCGTGCAATATCATCTGCTGTGTTTGCTAAGCAAAAAAAGGAAAAAAAAAAAAGAAAAAAAAGCAAGTGATGATGCCATCATGCTTTTCAGTGTTAAAATGTTTCAGCATTTATGTAGTCACCAAAATGTAGTAAATAAAATGTTGGATTTTCCAGCACTTTAAATTTAGACACTCTTGTCTTCTTTTGTTTTATTCTCTTTGTAAACCTCAGGAATGACTAATGGACTTTCTTTGGAGGAAAGGTGAAGCTGAGAGGACAACATGCTTGCAAACTAAAGCCATGACCGTGTTTTAAAGAGAGATTACTAGTAACTGCCTGGCCAGCATGGCTCAGTAGTTGAGCATCTACCTATGAACCAGGAGGTCACAGTTTGATTCCCGGTTGGGGCACATGCCTGGGTTGCAGGCTCGATCCCCAGTGTGGGGTGTGCAGGAGGTGGCTGATCAATGATTCTCTCTCATCATTGATGTTTCTATCTCTCTCTCCCTCTCTGAAGTCAATAAAAATATTTTTTAAATAAATAAATAAAGATTAAGGGGGGCAGGAGAAGGAGGTGTTCTCCAGCGGAACAGGGGAAGTTTTCAAATGGAAGTGTGGTGTTCTGTTTGTAGATGTTAGCCATTTATATTAGCCTGATTGACTCTCAGAAGAAAGAAAATGATTATTAGAGAAGATAACCTTAAGAAGTCCTCTCCAGTAAAATAATGTGTTTGTGTGTGTGGGGGGGGGCGGTGTCTGCCTATCAGTCTGTCTTAGGTGATGGGGTGTTGGAGGTGTTACAGGCAACCAAAGCATCCGGAAAGGTGTTATCGGAGAGCCCCCCACCCCTGCCGCGTCAGAGAGGGCTGTCCCTTCCTCGGTTCTTGTCTTCACCTATGAATGAATTCAAATGAGTGACTCCAGATGATGGCGTTGTGATAAAGTGAATTTATCAAGAAAGTAAAGCAAGTTATTGAGCATTGGCCTGTGCACCGAAGGATGGTGGGTTCAATTCCTGGTCAAGGGCATGTACCTGGGTTGCAGGTTCCATCCCAGTCCTGGTTGGGGCTCAGGCACATTGATCTATGAACCAAGAGGTCAGAGTTGATTCCTGGTCAGGGCACATGCTCAGGTTGTAGACTCGATCCCCAGTGTGGGGCGTGCAGGAGGCAGCTGATCAATGATTCTCTCTCATCATTGATGTTTCTATCTCTCTCTCCCTCTCCCTTTCTCTCTGAAATCAATAAAAAAATATTTTTTAAAAAATAAAAATATTTTTTTAAAAAGAAAGTAAAGCATGCAAATTTATTAAAGAAGCAAGGCAAACAAATCTATCATCCGACATAAAGCGAGGATCTGCTCACTCAGCTAATCTGAGGAGTGAGTGGGGTGGGGGTTTCTACCTTATATACTTTCTGTCTGTAGATTTTTAAATTCCTCTGCTGAATATCTTGGGTCCTGGTTGGGGCTCAGGCACATTGATCTATGAACCAAGAGGTCAGAGTTGATTCCTGGTCAGGGCACATGCTCAGGTTGTTTTTAAATTCCTCTGCTGAATATCTTGGTGCAGATTAATTTTCAAGGTCCCCCTTTTACTTTGTTGTAGCCTTCCCTGGATTTGTGAGGAGCACCTGGCAATGTTATCTTGCCAAACCCTGAGGCTGCTGGCTTTTCGCAGCTGTGGGCAAACTACGGCCCGCAGGCCGGATCCAGCCCATTTGAAATGAATAAAACTAAAAAAAAAAGACCGTACCCTTTTATGTAATGATGTTTACTTTGAATTTATATTAGTTCACACAAACACTCCATCCATGCTTTTGTTCTGGCCCTCCGGTCCAGTTTAAGAACCCATTGTGGCCCTCGAGTCAAAAAGTTTGCCTACCCCTGGTTTAGGGAGTGAAATAAAACTGCCCTTTTTTCCTTTCCTCTTCCCCTCTTTTCCTGCATTCTTTCCTTAGCAAGGCTTTTCTAACCATTTGTTCTCAAGTGTCCTCGGTGTGGGGAAGATAATGGCTTGGTGTCACAAACCAGCTGCAAGCTGTCCAAACTGCTTGGCTTTGTTTAATTTTCTTGTCTCACTTTCCCTATTCCTCCTGCCCCAGAATTTTCCTAGCTTCTTGCTATCCTGTAAC